GGCGCCATGGCTCACTTGGTTAATCCTTTGCCTGTGGTGCCAGCATCCCATATGGGTGCCGGGTTCTGGTCCCGGTTGCTCCCCTTCCAGTCTAGCTCTCTGCTATGGCCCGGGAGGGTAGTGGAGGATGGCCCAGGTGCTTGGGTCGCTGCACCTGCATGGGAGACCGGGATGAAGCACCTGGCTTCATCTGGCTCCTGGCTTTGGATCGGCGCAGCTCCAGCCTTGGCGGCCATTTCGGGTGTGAACCGACGGAGGGAGGACCTTTGTCTCTGTCTCTCTCTCTCACTGTCTAGAACTCTACCTGTCAAAAAAAAAAAAAAGATTCATATTCAATTAATTTTATACACAGAGGGCCAACTATATACTAAGTAAAGATTTCAACAATTTTTACACACACACACAAACTGTGGCGCTTTTTTCTTTGGACCATGTGTAGATTAGTGGAGTGTCTGCTTTCAGTGAATGCCTGCTCCAGGGTGAAGGGTGTGTCTGAGGTAACACACCCAGTTTTGACATGGTAAATCTTTTTTTATTTTTTATCTTTTTTCAATCAGAGGGGAGGTTTGTTCTTTTCTGTTGGTGTAGATTCATCTTTGCTCCTCTCCTCAAAGGAGACCAGTGCCTGGGCACTAGCCCCAGCGGGTATATTATTTGTCCTCTCTGCCACAAGGACCTCACAGAGGATCTGTGCGGTTCCAGTATAAGCTCAGCTTCCCCGGCAATGTCCCTTGCCAGATAACCAGACCATGTGGAGCCTCCCGCAGGGACTGCCCCAAGTCCCAGCCAGATCCTGTGTCCTGCCACACAGCCTCAGTGTTTTCACAGTCCCGGCACACAAGCCTCCCACAGTCATGAGCACCCAGCCCCTTGTCTGTTCTCCCCACCAGACTCAGGAATCTCTACTTGACTGGGTTCTGGGCACAAACAAGAACTGCTACAGCTGTTACATATGTCCAAAGTGGCGCCTATTCTCTATCAGCTTGTTACAGGATGCTGTTGCAGGGTGATAGGGGAGAGACTGGTGCTCTTATGGCATGCCAGCATTGCAGGTGGAGGCTTAACCTGCTGCACCACACTGGAAGCCCCAGAAATTGGAATTTGAATCCAGAAATTCAATTCTTAGGTTCTTCCATTGACAGTTTCTTTCCTCTCAGAGTACTATTTTTTTTTTTATTTTTATTTTTTTTTTTTTTGACAGGCAGAGTGGACAGTGAGAGAGAGAGACAGAGAGAGAAAGGTCTTCCTTTGCCGTTGGTTCACCCTCCAATGGCCGCCGCGGCCGGCGCGCTGCGGCCGGCGCACCGCGCTGATCCGATGGCAGGAGCCAGGAGCCAGGTGCTTTTCCTGGTCTCCCATGGGGTGCAGGGCCCAAGCACCTGGGCCATCCTCCACTGCACTCCCTGGCCACAGCAGAGGGCTGGCCTGGAAGAGGGGCAACCGGGACAGAATCCGGCGCCCCGACCGGGACTAGAACCCGGTGTGCCGGCGCCGCTAGGCGGAGGATTAGCCTATTGAGCCGCAGCGCCGGCCCTCAGAGTACTATTTTTTATCCTGGGATACCTTTTAGTCTTATAGTCTTAGATTTCTTTTCTTTTCTTCTCTCTCTCTCTTTTTTTTTTTTTTCTCCTCTAGCTTGGCAGGTACTCTCTCCCCCACTTCCAAGCTGGGTTCCCTCTAGGTTCTTCCTGCTGCTTTTTTGCCAGTGGTTTGGGCTGTTGCATTCTGATCTCACCTAACTCTCCAACGATGGTGTGGAGACTCTGGGCTGTTGGGGTCCTGAGTTGTGCATGTCCTTGCTCTTCACGTAGATACACTGTGTCCCGCCAATTTGCATAGTTTCCTCTGCTGCTATCTCCCTCACTCTTTCCGCTTTTTAAAAACTATCTTTTCCTAGACTAGAGCAGTAAGCTCTCGCCCTAATCTGCCATCTTAATCCAAGCCCTCCAGTGACCTTTAAAAGAGTGAGCGCAGCAATTATGATGCCTTTTGGCTGGGGCCAGGGGGAGGGGGACTAATCTGCCAACTGTGACACCTGCATCCCATATGGGCACTAGTTCAAAACCCAGCTGCTCCACCTCCATCCAGCTGCTGCTAATGCACCTGGGAAAGCAGTAGAGGATGGCCCAAGTGCTTGGGCTCCTGAACCCATGTGGGAGACCCGGAAGAAACTCTAGGCTTCTGGCTGTCACAGCTGCAGTCATTGCAGCCATTTGGGGATGGAAGCTCTCTATTTCTCTCTCTTTCTCTCTCTCTCTCTCTCACTCTCTCGTCTCTCCCTCTCTGTATGTAACTCCTCCTTTCAAATAAATAAAAAATATATCTTAGAAAAAATAAAAGGATGCCTCTTGGGACACCACATCTCATCCGTAGTGACTGGGTTGAGTCCTGGCTCTACTTCTGAAGTCGTCTTCCTGCTGCCGCACACCATGTGGAACAGCAGATGATGGCTGAAGTAGCTGGGGCCCTGCAGCCCACACAGGATGCCTGGATTGAGTTCTGCACACCTGTCTTTGAAGACTGCAGCCTGGCTGCTGCGGGCATTTACTTGAGTGAACCTATGGATGGAACATATTTTTCTGTCTGTCTCTTTTCTCTGCCTTTCAAGTAAATGAAAAATAAGTTTAACAAAATGAAAGAATGAGAAATTTTGATGTTGGGCTAGCTATCAGGTGAAAATTGTATGTTGTTTGTTGACTGAAATTCAGTTATTAAGGTAACAAAAGAGAGGTAAGGGACAGAAGAAACTAGCACAGCTGAATAGAAGATATTTTATTAATTCCATTCATTAACATTGAAAATCCACTGGAGTCCTGTGTGAATGTATAACTGCTCCAGAGTTCCTGAAACATATATCCTTCTCTAAGGACCTAAACAGTTTTCAGCGATTTATTGAGTATAAACTGTGTTTTGGAGCTATAAATAAAATTAAGGGTAAGGAAGAAATGACCAAAAAAAAAAATGGAATATGTTATGTTTCTTTCTGTTCACCAGATTTTCACATTAAGGATTCAGTTGCATCCCTCATTTTCTCTTTACAATAGTCCTCTCCATCCTGGCCATCTGTACTTTTTGATCATTCATTTCCTTCCTTTCTTTCCTCCTTCCTCTCTCCCTTCCTCCCTCCCTCCCAAACCCAGTTCTTCAGTTGAATGTTTTTCTTTTCTTTCTTAGATGCACAGTTTATACTCAATTCATAACTCTTCTATTTATTCTTTTCTTCAGCTTCTTTCTTTCCTAGTAGTGAAGTTAATACAAAGGTGATGTGGTTATGGTTTTTTCCATTAGTAAGACCTGGGTTGTTGTCCTGGCACCTTTGCATTTTAACTGTGTGACCTTAGATTGATTATCAAGCTTCTCTAACTCTAGTTTGTGTCTCTGTAAAATTGAATGTTAATACTTTGTATCTTACCTACTATTTGTGAGGATAAAAATAAGGAGATCTATAACCATGTAGAACACTAGTACGTTACAACCACACTTCAAGTCTTAGCAGCTATTAGCTCCTGCTACCATTTGTCTGTTTCATGACACAGCATTCTCTGTCTTGTGAATGATGCCTGTGTTGGCATTTTCTAGCCAGAGGTTATAACAGTGATCTCTCAGGTGGCAAATGTGGAGGAAGGTAGGAATGTGTTTTAAAGAGGTACTAAAGGAAGAAAAAAAGATGCTTCTTGGTTCATAGGAAACTGCTGGGGTTTTGTTTTGTTTTGTTTTGTTTTTTGACAGGCAGAGTTAGAGAGAGAGAGAGAGAGAGAGAGAGAAAGGTCTTCCTTCCATTGGTCACTCCGCAAATGGCCGCTACAGCCGGTGCGCCGCGCTGATCTGAAGCCAGGAGCCAGGTGCTTCCTCCTGGTCTCCCATGCGGGTGCAGGGCCCAAGCACTTGGGCTATCTTCCACTGCCTTCCTGGGCCACAGCAGAGAGCTGGACTGGAAGAGGAGCAACCAGAACAGAATCTGGCGCCCCAATCAGGACTACAACCCAGGGTGCCGGCGCCGCAGGCGGAGGATTAGCCAAGTGAGCCGCGGCGCCGGCTAGGATTCTTTATTTTCTTTGCTACTATATCTTTCCTTGAGTCACTCTACGATACGTAATGAAAATGAATAGCATAGAATTCAGTAAGAATACTTTTTTTTTTTTAACTGAGCATTAGGAGACCTCTTGAGAGAATTGTATTTTGTGTTTGTATTTGGAATTAATTTATCCATGTGACCTTTGGCATCTGATAACAAAATGCTGATACAAAGTAATAAGCTTTTTTTCCCCTGGGTTACTTTGTATCCGTAATACTAGCTCTACAGAAAGAAAACATAGCCAATTAAAGTCACTTATTAATTTGATTAGAATACTTACTACCTCAAACTGTCAGAAAGTATCTTATACAAAAACAGAGATCATCTGGCAAAAGTCACAGTGCTACTTAAATGTTTTACTTAAAGTTGAGACTTCATTTTCAATTTTTTGTGTATGTTATTAGCAGTATTCATGTTTGGTGGTGCTTATCATAGGACTGTTCTGGAATGGACATAATAGCATTTCTGTTGATAATCTGACACTCTGGTACTTGTGATGATGATGATGATTTACTCTTTGAATAAGCATTATTTTTAATCACATACGTGGAGCCCATTTTTCATAATATAAATTTTCTATATTATAAATATATTACATGTATGTAACATATTATTAATATTACAGACATGCGTATGTGCAGACACATACACACACACTGAATATCAGGCTTTCTTGATGCCTAAAATTGTAAGCAGAAGGAGATTTAGAAATAGACTCAAATGTAGAAAAGGATAGAAGACATTGTACTGTTCACTCTCAGAGCCATTGTCCCAGGGTCAGAGACAGAGAGAATGTGAAGAACATGTACATGATACATCCTTCCTTAGCTTGGTTGAAGACTCAAGTAGATGTGTCTTTTTTTTTTTTTTCCTTTTGAATAAGCCTGTTTCTCTGGATTTAAATAATTTTTATTTAATCTCTCAGACAGGGGAAAACAAAGGATGGAGTGGTCCAAAGGCTGGGTTTCCTGAACCAGCAAACAATAGTAAGTTTTCATTTTTATGTTATCTGTACTTGGTGTTCATCAGTGGCTCAATGACCAAGTATCACTGGGTATTGGTGTGTTAAATGTTGGGAAGAGTACAGGGGAGTTGTGGTGTTTGCTTTTCTGAAACTGACAGAATAACTAGAAAACTATAATACACACACTCATATCCTTAATGTGGCTAAGTCCTTGCAGAGTACCATTTAACACACAGGTGATGATATTCTTTTTTTTAAGTTGTCATTTTTTTTGACAGGCAGATTTAGACAGTGAGAGAGAGAGAGAGAGGTCTTCCTTTCCATTGGTTTACCCCCAAATGGCCACTATGGCCAGCGCGCTGCGGCCGGCGCGCTGCACCGATCCGAAGCCAGGAGCCAGGTGCCTCCTCCTGGTCTCCCATGTGGGTGCAGGGCCCAAGAACCTGGGCCATCCTCCACTGCCTTCCCATATTGTTCTAATATAGAGATTATTTTGAAGTAGCACTTATCTATAAACTGATGATGCTGTCAGATCAATTGTTTTCAGTTCTAATTTATGTACCTGGGCATTTATATAATTATAGATAAAAGTTTTTATTCTATTATTTCACTTAACATTGCCATGAGCATTCTCCACATTTTTCTGTCACTAGAATTTTTAATATTTCATAAAGTCAGTGAAAAACTTGGTCAATCATGTCCCACTTTCTAATACTGTCAGATTGCCTCTCTTTTCAAATGTATATGATCGAGGTACTTTGCATTGGAGGTATAGACATTTTTCTTTAATATCTTACCCACCTTCTGTTGAAAGTCTGTGTTTTCACTGATTTGACCATTTTACTGTAAACCAATGAATCAAAATGTTCAGCCAGTGAAAATACTCAGGCTGCTCAATTCTAACACTGTCTCTCTTCCTCTTACAAATTCTGTATACTGAAAAAACTTAAATCTACAAATTGTCATAATGAAGGATTCTTAGTGTATGGTATTAACAACTCATCTCTTGATGTAAGTATGAAATAATGTAGTAATAAATCTTATCAAAATGTACTCATAAGAATTGAATTCTTGGATCTTCAAAACTAGCCTCTTGAAAAGAATATTTCCGTGAGGTAATGGTGTTCTTGGGTTACTTTCTGGGAGTAATTTAATGTGCCTCTGAGCTGTTGGACTCTGTACATAGGGGTGATGAATGTGGTGGGCCTAGCACACAGCCCTAGGAAAAAGTGGAATCAGTTCAGGATTCCTAGAGTTTGTGTTTTATTCTGTTGATGTTTGAATGTATTGGTTGATAATTACTTAGTAAAGGAATGTAAGAAGTATTAAATTGGTTGCCGTTTTCTGGAAAGTACTTAGCAGAATGCCTGTACATAATGAAGGCTGATTTCCTTCCATCTTGTCTGTCCCACTTTTGTAAAAGTGATATAATTCTGTGTAGGCTTGCATACATTCCACTTTTTATCTGTCAAATGCATTTAGCATATACAAAGTAACCAAAGAATGTATAGTTTATTCTTGAATAATTACATTTTGGCACTAGACATTTTTGGAAGAATATAAGCATTATGTATTTGAATATGGAAGTCTGATAATTATTAATTAGACAGTTTTCACATGAAACACACTGCAGATAACCTGCAGGCACAAGATATCTTGACCCTTATCATTGTATATTTGTTGCTTTCCTTTTACTTTTTTTAGCTTGCTAATGGATACTGGAACTCTTTTGTTGGTATGGAAAAGGTTATCATAGAGAGACCAGAGAGTTTAACTGATCAGAAGTGTGTAAGAATGCATAAAAGGTTTTCCTTAGACATAGAGTTAGCAGCAGTAAAGTTGTTGGAAGCGAGCTTAAAGCTTAACCAAACTGCTAACACTTTAGGAATTCTTCTGATCTACAGTGATACAAATTGAGAATTTGAAATAAAAATGTCTCCCTACACTTCAAGTAAAAGAAAAATGAGGTAAAGTCTCCTCTAAATGAAGAGTGGTGCTGCTTCCAGTTAGCAAAGAGTATCAGAGCTCCGAAATTTAGTAACTATTTCGTTTCTCTGCAGCTAGGGCTCACTGTGGGGTTCCTGGAGCCAGCTCAAAGCTGCTTAAATACATTTGGAAGAAGTTGGTCTGCTTAGGAATTGGTCATCCAGGTAATGAATCAATTACCTGAAAACTAATTTGAATTCATATATCATGGTGACATTGAGGTTAACTTCTCTTCTACTTAATCAGTTCCTGGAGCTAGAAAATGCTCTGAGAGCTGTCTGTCCAGTGAAGAATACCTTTGTTAGAAGTTTGCTGAGTTCTCTTGGGGTGGCATCATGTTGGGGAAGACAGGAATTTGAGATTGCCAGCACTGTCTATCTTGCTGGCATATTGTCTGACTGGGAACAGTTCATTTCACATCTTACTCTTCAGTATACTCTGTTAAGAATTACACATGTCAGTTTATAATGTCAAGAGCCTTCAGCTATGTCACATTTGTATAATTCTTAACCATCCTGGAATACCATCTGAAAAGGTGGCTTATTTGTGAAAAGCAGAATCATTATGAAGTGGCTCTATTCATTGTGTTTTCTTTGTTAAACTTTGCATTTCTTTAGAATTGTAATTTTGAAGATTACACTTCTTAGCCAACTATCATTTGGATAAATAGTATAAAATCAACTTGAGACTATAAGTACAAAAATTAAACGAAAGGAATCCAGAATTGGAAAAGGGAAAGGAGAGAGTTTTAATCTAGTATAGTTAGCACCTAACTATAAGTAGACAAAAAAGCGTTAATGTACATGTGCATTTAATTTTTCAAGTGGAAGATCTTTTTAAAAGATTACAGTCATAAGAAACTGCTAACAATTACTACTAAAGAACAGTTTAAATGGTTTTGCAAGTGATTGTGATTACATAGCCTGGTTCCTCAATTTATTTTCCTGGCCTGATTGCCTGCAGATTTAAAATATGGACCTAATTTTTTCATGCTTCTCAGGCTTTCTTCATTGTACTAAAATGCAAAGAAACTAGACGATTCTGTGTTTTACCCTTTGAATCACTGTCATAATTATATTGAAGTACAAGAACACATAACTCTGTAATGTGAGGTTTGTGTTAAATTTAGCATGGGGCAATTTTATGCTTGGCATACACATGAAAAGCTAGGTTTTTACAGATGAATGACTAACAAGTTTTTAAAAAGATCATGCATTTTAAAGATCTATTGACGGCTCATGGAAAACTTTGTAAAATATTTAGATACAGTTCAGTTGATAATATCTTTCTTTCATAGTCACATTCCATGTTTCTTATTAATACAGGGTTTTACTTAAAAACAGGTTCATTGTTTCTTAAAGGTGAACTCTGGCTTAATTCAAAATTGGACTAAGCTCAAAGATATTCACTGGTATGTGCCGAATCCACCCACTAAAAGATTATTTGGAGGCATTTTTCACATAAATATTTTTCCATTAACCTTTTGAAAAGTTTTATTTAGCCCCTGTGAAATATGCTGGCTCTTCTAGGTTCATTACAGATAGCCCAAGACAAATCCTTTTGAGATGGGATAGAGTTATCATTGACCTTTTCAGGATCTTAATTGACTTGCCAGAAGTGTTAGCACTTGTGTCATGTGTATGAATTGTTGAACACCGTGCCTCCTGAAACTGAAGGCTGCACTGTTCCAATGCTGTGACGCTGGGACCGAGGGCAACATTTGCAGCCTCTGCTTTTTTCTCTTTCTTTCTTTTTTTATTTAAGGGAAGTGGTGTGAGGGCTATACTTTTAAGATAATACATTAATATATATTATTTCTTAAAATAGTGTTTTTTTTTTTTTTTTGACAGGCAGAGTAGATAGTGAGAGAGACAGAGAGAAAGGTCTTCCTTTGCCTTTGGTTCACCCTCCAATGGCCGCCGTGGCCGGCACGCTGTGGCCGGCGCACCATGCTGATCAGAAGGCAGGAGCCAGGTGCTTATCCAGGTCTCCCATGGGGTGCAGGGCCCAAGCACTTGGGCCATCCTCTACTGCACTCCCTGGCCACAGCAGAGAGCTGGCCTGGAAGTGGGGCAACCGGTCAGAATCCGGCGCCCCATCCGGGATTAGAACCCGGTGTGCCGGCACTGCAGGTGGAGGATTAGCCTAGTGAGCCACGGCGCTGGCCAAAATAGTGTTCTTTTAAAACAGTGATTTCTTTATTTATTTGAAAGAGTTATAGGCAGAGGGAGAGACAGAGAAGGAGAGCTTCCATCCACTGGTTCACTCCCCAAATGGCCATAATGGCCAGGGTTGGGCCAGGCTGAAGCCAGGAAGCTGGAGCTTCTTCCGGGTCTCCCACGTGGGTGCTGGGGCCCAAGCACTTGGGGCATCTTTTGCTTCTTTCCCAGGAGCATTAGCTGGGAGCTGAATTAGAAGTGGAGCAGCTGGGACTTGAACTGGTGCCCATATAGGATGTCAGGTGGCAAGTGGAGGCTTTACCTGCTATGCCACAACACCAGCCCTCTAAAAGAGTGCTTTCAGAGAGTTCCCTGAACTTGTGGGTCTCCCATAACAGAAACCATTTTGTAATGAGACAATTCAAATAGTTGGAACTAGTTGGATTTAAATATAAATTTAGTTTCATATGAATACATTTGAGTGATCATATTTATATTTAAATAGCTTAATTATTTATGTAGACATAAGTACTGTGTTGCAAATGTAAAAGTGAGCGGGTTTGTAGGGGTTTGTAGTGATCTTACGTAGAGGATTGATGGGTTACTTGTGTGGTGCAGCCTGGAAGTGTTTGTTCGAAGTTGGATACCATGAATAGAGGGCTGCTCGGCTGGAGTGGTCAGGGGCAATAGCAACGTATTGCATATCTTCATTGCTGTCCATCTTAGACTGCAGATGCAAATGTTTTTCCTCACCTGAACAAACAAAGAGAGGTCCAAATGTTCCAGATAGCCTCTTCCTTTTATATTGGTGGCTGTGTGGGATTGGTGTGAAGTTATGACCTTCTTTTTTTTAAGACATTTTATTTATTTGAAGATCGGAGTTGGAGGGAGGGAGGGAGGGAGGGAGGGAGGGAGACAGTGAGGGAGAGAGAGAGAATCTTTTACTTCTGGTTCATTTCCCAAATGGCTGCAACAGGCAGGGCTAGGCCAGGCCAAAGCCAGAAACTTCATCCTGGTTTCCCACGTGGGTTCAGGGGCTCAAGCACTTGGGCTGTCCTCTGCTGCTTTTCCAGGTGCATTGGCAGGGTGTTGGATGGAAGTAGAGCAGTCGGGATTGGAACCGCTGCCCAAATGGATTGCAGGCATTTCAGGTGACAGCTTAACCCGTTTCACCACAGCATGGGCCCTAAGTTATTGCCTTTTAAAAACCACTGAATCTAGGAAAGTTAGAGGTGCTGTTAAGCTTTCTTCTGTTTTAATCATGCTGGTTATTGTTAAAGTCATAACTCATTTAAAGGATAAGTAATCTGAAAATAGAAGGCAAGCCTTATAGAGTAGCAGAGATAGCATATTTTTTCTGAAATATTCTCAGGAAATATTTAATGATTTTTAAGTTTTTATGATTTTTAAGTACTTGCCTGACATTTTTACACACAAGAAGAGATTTCAGATGAGTTTTTTTGAAAAAGTAAACCATGTGATTTACAGATGCATTTGTTCATCATACTGTGAGAGTGTGTTTAAGCATAAGAGCAGAGGGTGAAACCGTTAAGAAAAAGATAGATTTAGATACATAAAACTAAAAATGAATTCGGAGAACAGTATAAGAAAATAAAAACCTGAATGACAAACAGAAAGCATAAATTGTAGCATATATAGCAACTGGTTACAAAGAATACATACAGGTCAATTGAAAAAAAAAAAAAAAAGGCACCCTCCCCTCAATAGAATAATGACCAAAGGCATTCAGGAAACAGTTTCGAAGGAAAGACAATAAGTAGTGAAAAATTGTTCAACAATTAAGAAAGGTCAGACAAAATAAATGTGATATGATTTCGGATCCATAAAAATTGTCAGGGATTTAAAAAGAATTACACCTCTTGAGGAAGCCTGTCCTGACATGTTTGCTGGTAGGACTGGGAGTTACTTCTGCCTTTGTGAAGGGGGTTAGTCATAAGCACACAATGCTTAGGCCTACTTCTTTCTGAAGTGTCACTAAAACACTATGGAAAAATGGAAGAGATTAGTTTGCCATACTTAACACACACTGATTCTGTAATCAGAAAAAAAAATCTAGTATATTTAAAACACAGATACACAAACTATGGCCTGAAATACATACTCTGGATTTAAACATAAATATTGTATATCAGACAGCACAATTATCAGTCTATTAATATCTCTTGGGAAACCTTTCTGACTTTTTTTAAGCAAGAAGAGGAAATGTCAAGTCTGCCTGAAGTTTCATTTTCTAAAGTATAGAAATCTGGAAATCTTTATTCTAAGAGGTCTATGGGGATTAAAAGTATATACAGTTAGTATTTTCCAAAGTAGGACCAAGTCATAGTGATGAGAAACAAATTTCAGAAATTGAAAATTAAGAAGTACTCCATTGATTTTCTGTTATCAAAGACATATTGTATAATAAGTATAATGAGAACATAAGGGTAATTCTCATAATTATTCATTTATTTTTATCTAGAAAGGTGGCGTTTTATAAAATCTCAAAGTTAACAATTTACCAAGGAATGTTAAATTTTCCTGTTTTTTTTTTTAAAGAAAAAATTGGCAGTACTTGATGATGTACAGTGTTTTTAACCTTGTACCAGTTATAGGCATGATAGTAAAATAAATACCCACGAACCCAACACCTGTTGAAGAACTGGAACATGCCAGTGTGTTTACCTTCACCTTACCCCCTCATTCATAGTCTGCTGCTTACCATGCCTTCCCCAGAACACGGGCTCACCCTCTGTGGATTTTGCAAAGTTGCCCAGGCTCTATTCCTTATAGTTTTATTAAGTAAATATGAGCCTTTAACAGTATTTGTTTAGTTTTACTTTTTTTAACTTTAGGAAAAATAGCATCATATTATTTATTGTCTTCTTAGAACTTTCTTCTGCCCCATCATTGAAATTAAAGATTATTTTGTTACATATAGTGTTTCATCCATGCTGTGAATATTCCATAATGATATATCCTTTATCCTAATGGTTCACACTTGG